TCCACCGACTGAACCAGCCAGGCGCCCTTCCAAATATTTTTATATAGTTGAGATAATGCATAGTCTGATTTCACAAACTTTTACTTTTTTCCTGGTACCTGTTAAAGCTTTGGCTTCCAAAGGGAAATCATGTTTCTGTTATTGACCCAACCACCCTTAGGCTGCTGTGTATTTGTTCAGCAACTCACAAAGTCAAGCAGATTGCTAAAATTTAAATCACAGGTGTTGAGAGCAATTTCAGCTTTTCTGTGAAGGCATAAAATGGGCTTAGAAATACTGAATCTTCTGTGAAAATAAGCAGCTTTGTTTTGTTCATTTAGGTATCCAATGAGCCTGGCAATCGTTACAACCTCCAGCTCATCAATGCACTGGTGCTCTATGTAGGGACTCAGGCCATTGCACACATCCACAACAAGGGTAGCACGCCATCAATGAGCACGATCACCCACTCGGCTCACATGGACATCTTCCAGAACCTGGCTGTGGACTTGGACACTGAAGGTGAGTAAAGCCAGCCAATTCTGAGTTAAGTTTTCTGTACCACAGTTTGATCATAAAAATATTTTAAGCCACAATAGACAGTTACTTTATCAGTATGTTTATGGCTCTATTTTGTTTTTTAATTTTTATTTTAATCCCAGTTATCACAGTGTTAACATCAGTTTCATGTGTACAATACAGTAATTCAGCAGTTCCATACATCACCCGGTGGTCACACTCCTTGATTTCCATCACCTATTTAATCCACCCCTGGTAACCATCAGACTGTTCCCTGTAATTAAAAGTCTGTTTCTTGCTTTGACTCTCATTTTTTTCCTTTGCTTGTTTTCTTAAATTTCACATAGGAGTGAAATCCTATGCTATTTGTCTTTCTCTGCTGGGTATTTTATCTTTAATTGCATAGTATCTGCTTAATGCAAAACTTTTGGAAAAATGGAAAGAAAGACCCAGAATCCTTACCACATTACTAGTATTGCAGTGTATATGATTATAGTATTTTTTTTAGTGTGAAAATAAACATGTTCCTTTTACTAGCCGCTCTTTAAAAATAAGCTTATCTTACAGTGTTTTGTTAGCCTGCCTTTCCCCCAGCATTTGTCTGTCAAGCAACTTGTTAAATATTAGGTATGTAAAAATTAATGGATAGGACTTTACCTAACCTGCTTTGCAGAGAGTTGACAGTATAATTCTTCCTATAGGTTGCGTCTTACCTGGTGGAATCACATTTCTTTTGGTTTTTTTTTTAAAGATTTTATTTATTTATTTGAGAGAGCAAGAATGAGAGAGAGTACATGAGAGGGGGGAGGGTCAGAGGGAGAAGCAGGCTCCTCGCTGAGCAGGGAGTCCGATGCGGGACTCGATCCCGGGACTCCAGGATCATGACCTGAGCCGAAGGCAGTTGCTTAACCAACTGAGCCACCCAGGCGCCCTTCTTTTGGTCTTCTATATTCATTCTTAGACCCCAGTAGGTACTAACCAACTACATAGTCTTGCTTATTTTAACACACAAGTACTTTATTTAAAAAAAAAAAAAAAAAAGGCTTTTTAAAAAGTAGGCTCGAGCCCAATAGGGGGCTTGAACTCAAGAGTTGGACTGTGCCTTACCATCTGAGCCACCCAGGTGCCCTTAACACACACCAACTTTAAAAAGGATGCCTTTTAACTTTGCTAACAATTCTTGAGAGGATAGTTAATCTTGATATACATACACTTGTCTATTTGTAGAAGGGATTTGAGACAGTGTAAAGTCAAGATTTAACAAGACTGAATACCATTACATCCAGAACCCAGCAAAAAAAAAGGGGGGGGGGGAGTAGCCTTACAAACATGAATAATATCAAGCAGAGGCAGACAACCAGACCTAGTTACTGTAGGTATTTATTCCAATATAGTCTCAACTAGCAGTTCTCAGAGTGTGGACTGGAAGCCCGGGGGATGTCCCCAAGACCTTTTTAGAAGAGCTGTGAGGTCAAAACTACTTTCACAGTAATGACTGTGTGTGTGTTTGCACTCATGTTGTCATGAGTGTACAGTGGAGTTTTCCAGGGGCTACATGAAACATAATAGTGGAACACATTGAACACAGTGCAGAAGAATCCAGCTCTCTCCTATTAAGTGACATTAAAGAATCTGTGAAATTAAAAGTGATACTTTTTTTTCCTGAAAAATGCTTACATGCATTGGGTCTGTTTTTAAATATTTAAAAAAAAAAAATGTGGAAAATCCCCCCCCCCCCCACACACACCAGAAATGGAAACATTGGGGACCCAAGAACCACTGGTTGAAACTAAAGGATACTGAGTCTCTAGCAGAAATCCAAACCCTAGCCTCTTAGAATGATTTGTCTTTTTACGTTGGCCTTTCACATGAAGCATGTCTGCAGTAAACTGAGCTTTCTCAATTTCTAGGTCGGTATCTCTTCCTGAATGCCATTGCAAATCAGCTGCGGTACCCAAATAGCCACACTCACTACTTCAGCTGTACCATGCTGTACCTTTTTGCAGAAGCCAACACTGAAGCTATCCAAGAACAGATTACAAGGTAAGGGAGAAGTTTTTTAGATAATTCTAAGTGGTGCCTCTTCCCCTTTATTATGAATTTTTTTTTCAGTGTTCATGGAGTATCTTCGACATGTCCATTTAAGACATCTTTTACATGTGTTAAATAGGATGTAGTTGTGAGCAAAATGGACATTGTTCCTGCCCTAGCAATTTAGTCTGATGGACACAAAATGACAAGTAGAGAATTACAACTTGTTTTTAACAAAAGGTACCAGCGTTTTGATTGAAAGTCAACAGTTTCTCTCAGGTGGTGGTGGTGGTGGTGGTGATGACATTTTTTATCCAGAGTCCTGAATCCACACAGGCCTATTAAAAGCCATGGTAAAGAGCTTGGGCTTTTCTTTATCTTCTAGGTTGAGAAGTTTGAAGGAGAAATAACAAGATGATACTTGTGGGTTTTTTTTTTTTTTTTTCTTTCCTTTTTTGATGTAATATGTTGCAGATTGCTTAGACTGTCTATATAGCATTGGGGATTGGGCAATGGGTAGATTCTGGTGAGAGAGAGAGATACACACATTTTAAAAAGTGGGCCAGACTTTAAATCTGACACTGTCATCCTTACTTTACCTTAACTCAGTCTTCTAGGCTAACGGGAAGAGGCAGGATTCAAACCCAGGTTTTTTAATTTCAGAAACCACCTGCATTAACCATGGTGTGTATATATATATATGTGTGTATATAAATATATATATAGACGTTAACCCAACTGTCCTTAGTAAAGCTGGTAACTTTTGCATGTAGTTTAGTAATCAAGGAAAAAAGGTAAAGGAGAAGTCATAAATTTGTAGATTTTTCTATGCATTAACTAACCTTTTTTCCCCTTCAGGGTTCTCTTGGAACGGTTGATTGTAAATAGGCCACATCCTTGGGGTCTTCTTATTACCTTCATTGAACTGATTAAAAATCCAGCGTTTAAGTTCTGGAACCACGAGTTTGTACACTGTGCCCCAGAAATTGAAAAGTGAGTTCAAAGTAATTTTTTAATTGTCTAAGAATGAGAAACATATGATGGGTGATTAAGAAGGTAATGATAGCCAAAGCTAATGTGACCCAAGGTACTGCCAGGTCCGAAATTTTTCTCACAAACTTGTAACTGTCTCTGTTCTTCAGGTTATTCCAGTCGGTTGCACAGTGCTGCATGGGACAGAAGCAGGCTCAGCAAGTAATGGAAGGGACAGGTGCCAGTTAGATGGAACTGCATCTCTGCTGTAAATGTGTCAGCCTGGAGGTCCCACTGCACCAGGTTTATAAACTGGCTGAAGAATCCTTTCAGCTCTTCCTGACTTTCCCAGCCCTTTGGTTCTCGGGTACCTGCCCCAATTACTGTTTGGGTCAGCTTCCTGTGTATGTGGGCACGTTCCAAAGTTTAAATGCATTTTTTTTTGACTTGGCCAAAATTTAGAAGATGCTGTGAATATCATTTTGAACTTGTGTAAATATATGAAAGATAAAACCTTTGTCTGCAACTTCTTGGGTTTGTGCAAAATGTGTCCAAGGGAAGTAGATAAATTTGGTACCTGCCCAGCTTGTAACTGAAAGGCTGTTGATGCCATGCACTTGTCTGGGGATATAACATAGCTCCATGTCTTCTGACATTCCTGGTGTCCCAAAGAATAGCAAAAAAGCCAGTTTAAATATTGTGTAACTTATTTTTTTAATGTGGACAGGGGACCCTGAAAATCATAAAGTTGTTAAATGTGTGTATGTGCTACTATTTGGTATGCTTAGGGAACATGGGAAGAGCTCACAATTGAGATCCCATGGATTTTTGTTTTGCCTCTTCCCCTAATCTAAAGCTGACTGCTGGGAGAGCATCATTTTCTCATTTCTACTGGAGAACTACCCCCTTAGGCCCCAAGATGCAGTCAGCTCTTTTTTATAAAGGGAAACCAGACCATGCCTAAAAGTGCCCCTAGCTCTCTCCTCATACTTACAAATTGTGGGAAAGGGGACTAATAGTGTATGAATTGCCCTTCCCCATCATCCCAGTGAATAGCCATATAGGCTATTTTGAACCACCAAGTCAAAAGGACCAATACAGCCCCTTTTGTAAGGATTTTGAATGTTTTGTAAATGTATTGGTCCACGTGTTGTATTTTGTAGCCTTTCTAGTCCTGGGCTCTAGTTCCCTTACTTGTATGTGTATGCATACTGTAGTCAAACATTAAAGTCATGACACACACGTGAGTCCACTGTGCCTTTCTCAGTAGCAGCAGCCAGTGCTGGTGGTGAGGAGGAAAAGTGGATAACCCAGTCTCACAGAGCCTGGGGCCATTGGGAAACATCACTTCTTGATGAATGATTGATCTTTCCCGCTAATCTGGCATGTTTCAAGAATAGAAAAATCACTGGAGCAGGTTTCTTTGGTTAAAGAATTACAAAACCTATTTCTTACCCTTTCTCTTCATGGTATTTTGATATACTTAAAATTTATGCCACTTAAAATACACCTTACCTTTAATGATTGTCAAGTTTTACAGCCACAGAGGACAAAAAGGTTCGAGATTAAATAGAAATTTTAACGAGTAAGGTTTGAACGTCATTGGTGTCTTAGGGTTTCTTCCCTTAAGGGTGAGTTTTGTGCCATCTAGAGCAAACTTCAGACTGCTGAGTGCCAGGACCAGAGCTCGTCAAACCCTCGAACAGGAAACTAAGTCTTGGAAAAAAGCTTGCTCAAAATACACCCAGGTCTCCTTTCAGAGTCCATGTTATTAAATGCTAGACTACAACGAAAACAATACTGTCACATTTCTGCTAACTCTGGTTCAAACAGAACAAAGCAGTTTTAAGATTTATTGGTCTTTAGTAAACCGCCAGCAGTTTCCAAGTCTGCTGTGCCCAGTCTTTAAACAGTTCACCCTTACCTCTGAGTTAACCCTAGCACACCACCTCTGATGATATTAAAGTTCTTCTCATCGATGTTCCTTCAGGCACCACGGAACCTGCTAACTTGTCAGTTCCAACAACTGATGTAAGATCATCTTCTGACCATAGCGAACCTGCAGGGCCTGCTGCTCCCTCCAGCTGAGTTTGGTGTAGACCTCCTTGTTACTGAGTAAATCTTGTTCAGATTTTAAGTCTGTGGCATAGGTTTGCAGGGTCAACAAAACACTGTCCCGAAGAAGCTGTTTCCATGATGCTTTGAGATTGGGGATATTTGTGATTGTCAAGCTGTCCTCTTCCCTTTTATCTCCCCATCCATCCTTCTCTTTAAACTCTCTGAACTCCTCAGCAGGCATGCATAGGACCTAGAAGCAATCATTGGGCCTTTCAATTAGGAATTTAATTGCCCTTTAATTGTGAATTTCTGAATTTAGAGAAGCCTATCTTGGCAGCATTTAAGTGTGCTCTCCCTCCATCCCATGTTTCCTTTCTCATTTGGCTTTATCTAGTTCTAAATACTTTGGCCATTCTCAGCCCTTTACCTTGAGTGTGCTGGTCAGTTCCTCTTCGGTCAGTACCTCCTCATGCCCAATCACAAAGGCTCCCTCTTCCCCAACCATCTCCAGTTTGCATAAGAAATCCCAGCGTTCATACAGTAGGAGCCTTTCAGCTTCAGCTTTTGTTCCTGTAGATAGTAATAGTGTCAAAGTCTGCATATACCCAGCGGTTCCTTTCTTCTTAGTCTACTACCCGGTCTCCAGAAAACGGGGCAACTGCTATTTAAGAGCACCTGGGGTGGGGATAGAGACATGTCCACTGGTGTCCCAAGATTGGATCAGACACTCACCCTGTAATGCTGCTTCACGAACTGTCACCATCTGAATGTCAGCTGTGTCATCCGTGTTGTCAGGATATGGTTCAACAAAACCATACATATGAATCAGCTGCCAATTAGCCATTTGCCCGTAAGTGTTGAAAATTTCATGGCCTTTAGGAATGGGCTGAGTGGCCACCATCCGAAGACAATTCTGGGGTGGAAGGAAGAAGCTGGGACCAGGCCCAACAAATGCCTGGCCAGCCCCATGAAGATTAATTCCCTCTTAGGAAGAGCTTTCCAGTGGGTACAGTTCAGCAATGGGACTGATGATATACCTACCAACATTTTACTTTTAGTTCCTATTAAGATCCTATATAGCCATACCTCAGAGATTGTGTGTAGGTTTAGTTCCACACCACCACACACACAAAAAGCAAATACTGTTTAAAAAAAAAAGCAAGTCCCAGTGCCTATAAAAATGTACTTATCTTAGAAAACAAGCTTTTTTTGCTAAATGGTGCTAACCACCATCTGAGCTTTCTGTGAGTTGTAATTACTGATCAGATCACCAAAACAAATACAGTAATAATGGAAACGTTTGAAATACTGCAATTCTTGCAATTTTAATTCTTCCCAAAATAAGACACACAGACATAAAGCAAGTGGTGTTGGAAAAATGGCACTGATACACTTGCTCAGCACAGGGTTGCCACAAACCTATTTGTAAAAAGCACAGTATCTGAAGTGTAATACGCCTGTACAGTAGGATGAAAGGTGAGACAAAGGTCAAGTTCAGCCTCATTGATTAGGTGAACCTCTGCTCAGTCATCCTTAGTACTTAAAAAGCTGCTAGCGTTTAGAAATGAACAATTAAACCCTAAGTAGGAACAGCAGATGCAGGCCAGGATTAAAAAATAGCCATTCCCTAATTCCATTAACTTGATCTTTTCTTGCAACTTTCCACCTAGCAAATGGAATTGATAGAACCCTGGTATCATCTTAGATCTGACCTATGACCATCCCCTTTCCTCCCCCTTCTCCCCAAAAAGTAGTGACAGTATAGCCAACCTCTGGCACCAAATAAATGGTGACAGTAGCTTAGCAGAGAAATAACCACAACTTACTTTGTGGGTATTGAGGTTTTGTGTTCAAACTATTTGAGTGGAATATGCAAACTGAACATAACAAGAAAAGCTGACTTCACCTCTGCTTTTTTACCATGAAGAGAATGGAGCCCACTTAGCCCAACTACCAGGCCAGCATAAATGACAGGCACTGGTTTGAATCAAATGCCTGATCGTCAGTGCACATAAGAACAATAACTGAGAGGGATCCACTCACTGGAGAGTATTCTAGATTGGCATTATGATTGGCTAAGTGGTTTAGTATGTCTGCAGCAGGCACCATCAAAGGGGAGTTTGGCTCCTTCTCATCCTCCTCTTCCTCCAGTGGTTCCTGAAAGCTGCCACAGAGAGAACTTTGCTAAGGCCCAGTGTAGGGTCAGAGACGGGTGTGGTTCACTGTTCTTTCCCCTCTCATCCCTCAATAGAGTTCTAAAGAACAAAGTCCTTCAAGGGTCTGCTCACTGACCTGTAGGCCATCACAAGAGCCACGAGCTGGCGGTAGAGTTCCAGGGAGCGAACCCTGGGGCTGAAAAGATCCGGGTGGGCTTCCATGAAGGGTAACACGATGGAATAGTATTCGCTGCGGATGTTGGCCAAGTCCTTCTCCACGGCCTCCGGTACGCCTGTGCCCTGCAGCAGTCGCCGGCGCTCCTCCTCGGGCCTGCAGTGACACCCCACCCGGGTTCCCTTCACACACCCCACCGGGCTAGTGCCTGGGAACCCGGTCGCCGGGCCAGGACGCTTCGACCAGGCTCCGGTGCTGGTGCTCCCACCCCTGCTAAGGCTCTCACCAGAACATGGGGTGCTCCAAGCGGCCCAGCTCCGGCCAGAGCGCAAAGTAGGGGCTCCAGGGCGAGGCCGGGGCCTGCAGCTCGTGCAGCAGCGCCAGCAGCAGCGGCACCCAGCCCGACTGGCTCTGCAGCGCGCCTCGCTCTGCAGGAGATACGGAAGTGAGAGACACGGCGGGGAAAACCCCGGCGCCGCTGCGCGGCCCACCTCCCCGTCCCATGCCCGCCGGCGCACCCACCTCGCTCCAGCAGGCCGCCGATGGAGCAGGTGTGCTGCGACAGGAGCGCGGCCCGCGGCACGGCGAACAGCAGCTCCCCGGGCTGCACGCTCTCCCGGGCCACCATGCCGTAGCCGGCCACCGTGCCCTGCCGGCTCACCGCCACCTGGACGGGGGAGAGGCCGGTCAGAGCGGGCCTGCGCCCCCGCCGCGCCCGCCCGCACCCCCGCCTCCTCACCTTGGGACTCAGCTCCAGCCCCACCTGCCGGCACCAGCTCAGGAAACCGACCACCGGGTCCGGGTCCGCGTCGCCACCGCCCACAGGCCCAGCCACCTGGAATGAGCGAGCGCCGTGGAGAGAGCCCGCCCCAGAGAACGCGCGGGACGCGGGAGGAGACGGAGGTGCGCGCGGAGGAAGGGCTCTGGGTGGGGGAGGGGACGCGGAGGGCGGCCAGGGACCCGCGCAAGCGAGGGAGGAGAGGCGCGGGACGGCACTGCGGGCGGGGTAGGGAGGAGGAAACGGACGGACCCCGCTCCCGTCCCCCGCGACTTACCCGCCGGCGCTTCGCCTGGGTCGCCATTGTCGAGGCCGCGCGGCCCCGCGGCTCAGGAGCTCAGCGCCGGCGCTTCCGGCGTCCCGTGAAGGGCCTGTCGGGGGCGGGGCTCATATCCCCGCCCCGGCGCTACGTGACGTGCGTCCCGGGGTCCACGCGGAGAACGAGTCGGGGTTTGCACCTGGTCAAATCACTCCTCTTGAGAACGTTCTTCTGGAGCCCGGGTGTCCCCAGCTGGGTTTAGAACACGGGCGGTCGGGTCCAGGAAGACGTACCTCTGTACCGCCTCGAGCCTGGTTCTGAGCAAGGTTCAACTCTCTCCCCTTTGGTCCCCAAGAGCTGAGACATTTCGGAGTAGAAGTCCAGGTGAAGAACTAAATTCAGTTTCTGGATACCAACGCGAGGGCCTCCCGGCTGACCGGCTGTGAGCGCACCCAGGTGGGCGGGCAGCCTGCCTTCGTGATCGCGACTCATTAGCCAGGGTAATTGAACCATTTTATTTGCTCAGAGGTGTGTGCGCGCGTGCGTTTCGGAGTGCCGTGGGACAGGTTGTGTGTTTCCGAGGGGCATGGGAAGGTTCCCAGAACTGGAATAACCCCCCTCTGCCCGCACTCGCTAGTACATTCCTGTTTTTCATCATACGCATAGCACATGGTGGGTTTTATTTTTATTTACGTGCTTTATTAGTTGACATATAGCAGGTACTCTATGTGTGTTTATTGAGTGAATGAGTCAGAAATGGTGGTTAAACATAGCAAAGTAGCATGCTGTTAAGAAAATGAAGCAGGGTTTTGAAGTCCTGCAATGCCAAAGCCAGCTCCTAGCTTGGCTTCTTAGGGCAAATCCCTTATCCTGAGGCTCCGTTTTCTCAGCTGTGAAACTAAGATAATATATATCCTGTGGAATTAACGTAAGGATTGGTGGGGCACCTGGGTGGCTCAGTCAGCTAAGCATCTGCCTTCAGCTGGGGTCGTGATCTTAGGGTCCCGGGATCGCCCAGCCAAGCTCCTGCTTCTCCTTCTGCCTCCCCCCCTCCCCCGTCCATGCTCGCTCTCAAATATTATCTTTAAAAAAAATGTAAGGATTGTTAAGATAATGTGTTAAGAAATGGAAATAAGTGGGGCACCCGGCTGGTTCAGTTGTTAGAGCATGTGACTCGATCAACCAACGGGTGGTCCTGAGTTCAAGCCCCAAGGTTGGGGGTAGAGTTAAAAAAATAAAAATTAAAAAAAACCAAAAACATGGATGGGAACTCCTGCACACTCAGTCCCACCTAAACCCAGGAAGCACCAACCTCAATGCGGCCTTCTCCACAAGCTTCCCGTGATGGGCCTGGCGTCACCATACTCAAATTATTCTTCATTTCCTTATTAGTTTGCCAGCACAGTTAGCTCTTTCTACTTTGACAAGGGTTTTTATTTGTTTTATATTTTGTCATCTCAAAGTTTCATGACATCAGCCACCAGAATACACAAAATTAGGTTCTTCACTTTATACAGAAAGGGAAATAATAAACTCCATTAAAAGTTCACTTTGACCAAAGAGACAACCTCCTATGGAAAACCACACGCAGGAAGACCCAATGTACATATATATATAATGTATAGATATTTATAGATATCTCATCTGAAAGAACACAGGAAAAAAAAATCCAAGGTCTGCAGCGCTATCTACAGTAAGAGAGATTAATTCTACCAGCTTTTCAAACAGTCACATTTGATATTCAAAGGAAGCACGTGAGTGAATAGAACTGGGGACAGACCAACACTCCACCAGGCTCTAGAGCAGTCTAGTAATGGCTTAAGATTCTAGAAGGGGGTGATATGTGCCAAGGAAAGATGGATGCAGGTGTCCGCGCAGCCTCAGAGCACCTCACACACAACTGTCCCCTCCGCAGCCCTGCAGTTTTCATTACTCTCTCCCCTCATTTCAGGGTTTAGCAATTGATTTAGGCTCCAAGACCAGTGGCTCTGGTTTTGGGGCCAGGAGATTCTCCCTGATAGTGTGGGTGGGTGGGATGTGTATGGCACAGTCCTGGGCTTCAGGTGAAAGGAGGAGACCAGGGTGTGTGGAGAGCCTTTCTCCTCTGCCTGGCCCTTGTTCACTTCAGGAACCTTCACCTCCCACCCCAGGACCCAGCAAGCCCCAGCCCAAGCCACTCCAGCGGTCCTGAGATGGCAGTGGGGGCCTGCAAGAAGTCTCACTACCTTAGACCATTTCTCTCCAAATAAACTCTCTTCTTAGTGATGCCCACAGAAAACACTGGCATAGCTTGACCACAACCAGAAACACCACCATGTTTCTGGTGGCCTTGGACACACAGCTGCTGATTGGGTTGTCCTCCATGGAACTGGGAATCTCAGCCACCAGTGCCTCCAGCCACATCCTGGCTCCTGAAGGCAGACACCAGGAGGTTCTTGGGTGTGCCCAACCCTCACGGGCTATTCCAGCATTTAAGCTCAGCCCCCAAATCAGGTCCCAGTGGAGATAGAGGATCAGGCAACTTTCTACCACAGGGCCTTGGCTCAGACATGGGACAAGGCCAGGAGGTGGTGGAGTGTGTGGGCTGAGACCGTCTGTGGGGTTCCTGCCTCTTAGGTCCTCTGTGTTCTGTCTTCCTTGGGCAGAGAAACCCTGTTCAGTCCCTGCCTGCCTGGCCCTGTATCACCAGGCCAGCCCAGAGAGCACCAGGAAAACGGCTGCCTGGTAGGAGCGCCCCCTTGTGGCTACTGTTCAGATGATTGTCACATGTGCAAAAAGAAACAGATGTGCTTGGTGGAGGAGATGGGGAGAAAACGGGCCTGGAGAGCTCCAGGGCTCCTGCCTCCTAGTGCTCCCCAATGCTGCCTCCTGGTTTGTCACCTCAGTACCTGAGCTGGACCTTGTGCCCCTGCTGTCCCAGCACACCACCTCAAAACCCCATCCCATCTTCAAATCTGCCTGCGCAAGGGGGGGGCATCCCATGCTTTCTTCAGTCTAGGAAATTATCCTGGATCCTGCCCAGAGGACTCGAACTCTCTCCTTAGCAAGTCCCCTTCCTCCCTGTACCCCGCCCTGACTGTGGGGAGTTGGAAGGGGGGGTCTAAGTCAGCCAAGTTAACAAGGTGAGTGAGGTGGGGGTGGGGAGGAGTGAGCCTCTCAAAACCATCTGGAGACTGTTCTGCAGCATCTAAGATGAACCCCCTCATCTTTTTACCAGAAGAGAAGTAAACCCATTTCCTCCCCTTGGCCTTCACAAAAATAAACTAAAAGGAAAATGAGCCGGCGCGAGGATGGCAGTGGGACGTCGACGCGGGCGGGGGCAGGTGGGCGTCTCTGCCGGGCCACGGGCTTCAACAGGACACCTCCATGGTGTGGTTGACCTGGCCCAGCCCCTCACTGCTCTCCGAGTGGGTGCAGGCCGGCGGGCGGCTGCCATCCCCCGAGCTGGCACTGGTGAGCGACGCGGTACGGGAGCGGGCGAGGCGGGTCATGCTGGCTGAGGGCACTGTGGACAGAGATGGGAGCGGGCGTGAGGGCGGGCAGGCAGGGCTGGGGGCCGGCGGGCGGGACAGGGACTGACGCAAGCGAAGCGGCCAGCAAGACCCGCTCTTCCAACGGCACGGGGGCCCATCTCAAGCCGCGGCGCTGGCATCTACTCAGTCAAGCCGGGGGCATGCAGCACCAGCACCAGTGACTGAGCCCGAGAGGCGGGGGGCCGGGGGGCCCCGCAGAGGCCAGCAGGACCCATCTCACGACAGCTGGCCAGAGCTACGGCCGGAGCAGGGCGGTCTGACTGCGGACCCCTGAGCCGGTGCGGGGATGGGACAGGTTTCCAACGGTGCCTCTCTCGAGAGGATGATGGGACGGGGGAGGACTACTTCTGTCAAGGAGGACAAGGTGTGGAGGCCACAGACTGCTTTAAATCCAGTTCCTGTCCGTATTCAGACTTTCACAAGCAAGACTCTCAGGGGGCGAACTCCACCTTCCCGAACGCAAGCGGCCACCCATCCAGCCCGGGCATGGCCGGACACCCTTGCTCCCAAGGCCAGGCCTGGGCTTTCTCTCTCTCAGGCTCTGGTTCCAACTGCCTGAGCTCGGAAAGCCACGCGGCCCATGGCACCCCAGAAGCCAGACTGCTCTCAACCCCGGCCACAACAGAGCCCGAACGTGGGACGCCGGCCCACTAGGGCCCAGATCTGTGAAAAAGCAGGACTCTTTTGGGCTTTGGAGGCGAGCAGGACACAAGAAAGTTCCAAACCACAGCAAGATGAGGCCCAGCTGCAGCACCGCACAGAGGAACGAGCTGGGGGGGGGGGTGGTACTGGGGCAGGGGTCCATGCATCGGGAGGGGCCACGGGGCTACCTGCTCCTCCACTCAGCCTTCGGTCCTTCAAGTATGCAACTAAGAGAGAAGACAGAGCCAGAGGGACAGGGTGGGGTGCGGGAGACACAGGACACGGGTGAAGAGCATGATCCGGCGGGGCCAGGGTGTTGCGATGGGTCAGGGAGAGGAGACAACAGGCCAGGCACAGAGCGGGCTGGGGCCGGGCCAGAACCTCAGGAAGCCCACTCCTGCCCACCCCCCAAAGTAGTAGCCCTGACACCACTCTGGGAACACTCCTCTTGCCCCCGCTTCTCCAGCCCGGGCTGCGGCCCCCAGGGCCTCGTGGTGAGAGGGGTTGTGGCGCCCACGTCCTAGCAGCAGCTAGGGGGAAGGGGGAAGTCCTCCCCCTTCTTCTGGGCCTCAGTCTCCCCAGGTACAGACTGGGGGAGGCCTGCACAACCTCCTAAATCCTGCCCAGCTCTTGGGCTGCCTGGTGATGGTTCTCCCGGGGCCCTGAGAACATGCCCCAGCCTAACAAGCGTTGTTCGTCTACCCATCTCACCAACGTTCAGTGGGCACCCCCGGGGCTCAGGCCCAGCCGCAGAGCTCCTACTGTGTCCCACTGTTGGCCTGGGCCTCTCTCTGCCCTACTTCTCCACAGAGAGGCCGGCAGGCCCCTGCGGGCCAGAGGCAGTTCCGCTCCTGCTCCTGGCTCGGCCTCAGCCTTCCCCACGGGCCTGTCCTTCCCCGGGGGCACAAGCTCCAAAGGCTGAAGTCTGGGAGGAGACACCAATTCAGGGAGAGGAGTTCTGCTTCCAGCAGGAGAGCCAGGTAGATGGGGGAAAGGGGAGGCACCAAGGAGATAAGGTGTGCGCGTGTGCTTGCGTGCGGGCGTGCGTGCGTGCGTGTGTGAGTGTTGGAGGTGCTCACGAGCAGTCTGGGCATCTCATCCCTGCACCGGCGGAGACAGGAGGAGGGTGGCCGTTGCCGCCCCACAGCCCCTATCACCTTGGGGTCTTCACCTATGCCGCCCCCAGGTTCAGCCGCCTTTAGCTCTCCCACGTGCCTTCCTCGGGCCCCAGCCTCCAAGGCCCCTCTGATGCCCCTGATACCGTCCAGCACCTGTGACAAAAGCCCTTTTCAGGTGCTGTATGTCTGGCAGGGGAGTGGGCGGTGTGTAGGACTCACCTTTAGGTAGGCTTTCTGGGCAGGACCCAGGCCCGGGCTCTGGTCCCCCAGGCCTGAAGAAGAGCCGACCGCCCTGACGTCGCCATGAACACAGTGTCCCAAAGCCTCCCCAAGGGCACAAGAGAGCCCGACACAGCCTGGGCTCATCTACTCACAACTCAGGTGGGGATGCCCTAGAGAGTGCCCAGTCACGGCGGGGAGCATGTGGTGGGTGGCACGGCATCTGGGCCCCACTAACGCAGACCTCATATGCCCGCAGGCTGCTCAATGCCACCCGACACCGCGCCCCAGCCCCACTTTGCCGCCTGCCCACCAGCCTCTGGGGCGGGGACGGGGGGAAGTTTACTTACTGTAGCCCATGCCTTGCAGGAAGTATTTGAAGGCCTCACTCAGCTTCCCTGGCTGCAGGACAGAGGGACAGTCACATGCTTTGATTGGCTGCCTGGGATTGGGGGGAAGGGAGGCATCCCCCACCTGGGCTAGATAAGGGAGGGAGGGCCAGGAGTCTCACCTGTGTGACCTGGGGGAGCCCCCCGGAATCTGCCATCTGCAGGGAAGAGAGGGGGGTGAGCTGAGCAGGGGTCACCCCACACCTTGCCCAGGCCTCCTATACCTAAACAGGTTGCCCTGAGCAGACACACTGTCTTGCTCCCACCCCGATGGGACCCCAGGCACGCCCCTCCCTGAGGCTGGGCCCTTGGCTGGGGAGGAAGGCCTCACCTTCAGGAAGGTCGTGGTGGTGGGATCCAGTTTGGAGTTGCACTCCACCTAGGGACAAGGTCAGCAGGGTAAGGCAGCCCCAGCCCCTGGGGGATCAGGGGAGTCCCCTACCCCCGTTGTTAAGGCAGGTTCGAGTCCCAGAGCTGAGGGAGGGCATGCAGGCTGCCTTCTGAAAGTCCAAGCCCCTGTGGATCAGGAAGCAGGCCCCCCACCCACCCCGAGGGACCGGAGACGCTGGGACTCCCCTCACAAGTGCTGGCAGGGCAGGAATGGGGCAGGGGCTGGGCCATGTCCTTACCGGGAGCCAGGGCCACCTCGATGGGAGTGGCTGGGAAAGTGCCAGGACCCGCAGGGGTCAGGGGCCAGAGGTGAGGGAGGGTCAAGGATCGGCAGGAGACGGAGGCCTCTGCCTGGGTCCAGATGGTCGGTGTGGCCCACACCCCGTTCCTCCGAGCCCTCAGGCAAGGGAAAGTGTCCCGGGCACACTCGGGGGTGGCCCTGGGTACTCCTGGACCCTAGGCCTCTGTGCTAACGGGGACATGAAGCCTCGGGCTGCCTGCTTCCAGAGTTCCAGTGGGAAAGGTGACCATCCCCAAAGGCAACGGGTGCAACGGCTAGTCCAAGGATGCACTGCTTGGGGATTACTTCATAGTGAATGAAGCAAGCTGTAGAGAAGAGAGCTCCGTCTCTGGGCCTGAGGTGGGTAGAGACTGAGGTGGGGCTGCACTGCTGGGAGGGAGGGAGGGAGCGACGGCAGGCGGTCTGGCCCCAACTCCCTCCAGTCTCCACGCCTCCCTCACTTGAAGGCTGGGGCTGTGCCTGGTGGCGATGCATGGCAAGATCGTGGGGAGGTGGGCTGAGAAGTCCAACATCCAGGTCCTGGCCCTACTGGCCAGAGGGCAATGATGCCCTTACCCCCCCTCCCCCCGTCAGGGCAGAGTCCCTCACTCACCACCCCATCCTCGGCGGGCGCGTTGTCCCCAACCACCAGCATCACCGGGCAGCTGTAGACACAGAGGAAAAGAGCTGTCTGTCTGGCCCGGGGGTGAGTGGGGGGGAGGGGGGCAGGCAGGGGCAGGCTGCGGGGGGGCGGCGCACTCACCGGAGCGTCTTGGCATTGGGCACTGTTCCGGGCCGGTTAATGTCCAGGTCTCTGCGGCTGCAGGGAGAGGCAGAGGTAGAGGTGGGCATCTCAGGACTGGATCCCGGGGGGTCATGTGCCTCAGGGCCCTACCCCAGCCTCCCACAATGGCAATTATGGCCCGATGTCCCAGTCTGGGCCCACAGTTGGGGCTTAGGGTTATTGAGTTGTCTCAGCTATGGAAAAGGCCTCCCAGATCCCAGCCGGTGAACAGGGAGACAGGGATATGCCCTGCACACATAGAGGGTCTTCAGGCCTCCCCTCATGTAGAACTTCTCAGACCCCACAATTCATGTCAGGTGGGCCCTCAATTTAGCTCTCGCTCCCCCTTGAAGCACTGCTCCGACATGCACCACCACCTGTGTGTGGGGTTCCAGGCTCAGAGAGGGAGGCAGGCCCTGGTCCTCTCATCCTCCATTCTATCCCCAGCACCACGCACACAGCAGGTGCTTAATATTTGTAGGAGAAAGGGAGGAGGGCAGGCCAGTGGGCTCCAAGGAGCACAGCTTGAAAACCATGGGCTTCATCCAGCCTCCTCTCCATCTACAGATGTCAGCCCTGAGGTTCAGGCTGTGGGGGTCAGGGATGTTGCCCACATCCCACACCGCTCCTGGCTGGACCGCGATGCCCCAGGGGAGAAGGCGTGGAAGAGCCCAAGAACCAGAGTCCGCAGCCCTGCTCCCCCTCTGCCCTTCAATGGGAGTGACCCTGAGCAAGCAGGAACTCTTCTCAGAGATACACCAAGCTGCCCATCTGCAAACCGGGGAGCGCATATGTCCAGCCTGCCTCCTTCTATGAACCCCGACGGAGCGAGCTCTCTGTGCTGCAGAGGTGAGCCCCACGCCGCGCGCACCTGTTGTACATGTTCCAGAAGAGCTGCAGGTTGGCCTGGTTCACCACGTTCCCGATCTGCTGCCGGTAGCTCTGCACCAGCTCTGTGTTGTTCACTAGCTCCTCCTGGGCCCGGGGGGGAGACACAGACGGGGGAGGTGCGCAGAGGGGAGCGGACAGACAGACGGGGATGCGGTCTCCGAGGGGGCATGCAGGTAGCCCAGCCCAGCAGCCCTCGTCCCATTCCCAGCCTGGGTGGGGGCCGTGGCGGCGGGGCCTCATGAAGTGAGGGGAGGGCTCCACCCAGCTCTGGGAGGAGGCCCCCCACATCTGTCTCAGCCCAACAGAGTGAGACAGGTCAGATGCCACATAACGCCAACCCAGACCTCCTCCTCCTGCCTGGCTGCGAGGGGGTACAAGTCCTGGGCTCCCCGGAGAGTGGGCGGAGCCCGGCCCTCTAGAGGCTCCCAAGACCCCCAGATCAGCCACCGGCGCTGCTCCCACGTGGGCCCCGCCCCCTTACCTGGCTGAAGAGGTGGGATAGCACCGTGTCAGGTAAAGTGCTGGTGAGGCCGGAGAGCTGTGGGCCAGGCCAGAGGCCAGCGTGAGTGCCGTCCCCCACCCTCACGCCCCCACACCAGCACCCCCAGCACCCCCGTCTAAGTGGACCACGCTCACCTTGGTGGCCGCCCAGTCGATCCAGCCTTTGCCATTGGGGTCAATGTTCATCAGCACCAGCCCCTCCACCAGGTCGGGGAAGATGAGCTGCGGGGCAAGGGAGACAGGGCTTGGGAGGCGGGAGGGTGTGTAGGGAGCCCCCCACCCCGCCTTCCCGCCGAGAACACGGGCTGTCGGGGGCCGGCCCTGCCTATCTCACAGGTGGCTGGGAGGGTCTGAGGAGAAGGACACGCTCTGCAAGGGCTTCAAGGAGCCGCAGATGACTCCAGCAGCCACAGCTGGACACCTGCCTGGGCTCCCCTTCCAGCAGCCCCTGCTCGCCCTCCTCCCCGCCTGGAACCTTGGGTGGTTCTCGGACTGATTTCGAATCTAGGCCTCTAGGACTGTTTTCCGCGGAGATGCTGCTGTGAAACTGAGGAGTAAACATCTTCAGTGAAACATTTTGCTTCTTTGTTTTCACAGAGACCTTTCCAGAGCCTGTGTTGTGTTCGACGGTAAAAGAGATTCGAATGATTTCTTCAGGGGAAAACGGTATAATCTACACAGGACACAGCCATCCTGTCAGGTTTTTCTGGGGGGACAGGGGATGATCAGCAGCTAACGAGTGGTTAAGTGCTAAAATCCACACTGCAGTTCGGAATGCTTGGCCTTTTCTTTCGGAAAAAAATATTTTAAAAGAAAAAAAAGGAAATATTTTGAATCCGGAAAATTAAACTTTTGTCTTCAGAGATGGAAAGCTTGTGGGCTCCTACCCAACGTGAGGTTTCTGAAATGCAACTTTTTTTAAACCTCCCAAACTTAACATAAGTGTAACTTTTGGTTAAGAAATGACTCACGTTTAAATATTACCCTGATCAGTGTATAAGTGACTAGAAGAATCCTTACTTAGCGGGTAGAGCAATTCGTTGTAGAGTTTGTTGCTCACAGAAATGTGGGCTTTGGCTAATGGCTAAGCAAGTTATCGTTTATAGTCTTTTGAGGAAATGTATGGAAAAAGTAACTTTTTTTTTTTTTTAATTTCCTTGGGTGAAAAAAAAGCAAAGGGATTTTCTAAGTGAAGAGCAAGTTGGGAGGAGGGGAAGGAGCAGGAAGAAAGAGCAAATATTCCTGTGGCTGAAGGGAGCTGTGGGCCCTGGGAGGGGGTGGGAGGAGGGAGACTCACTGCAAACTTGGCCAGCACATAAGCTCCGGCTCCCACTCCGATGCCAATCACGTACTTGAACCTGGTGGAAAGCATGGCCGGTCACTCCAGGGCCAGGGCAGGCACTTCCCACGACCGCCCTCAGCTGGTGCCCGCTGGCTCTGCAGTGGCGGGGGGGCGGGGGGGGGACCCTCCGGCCCCCAGCCCAGGGACAGGGTCTGGGTGGGGACTCACCCGAAGTGCTGCACCACACTGGGGAGCATGGCGGCTAGCTGCTCCATGGAGGGGAACTGGTAACTGCAGGCAGAAGGGGAGGTCAGGGCCGGGTGCAGCCTGGGCCACAGAGCTGGGGAAATCTGGACGGGGCGGGGGGGCTCCCCGGTACCTACCCCTGGGGAAACTGCGACGCCCCCACCTGCTGACCAGGGGCGTCCACGTGGCACACCACGAAGTGCTTGGTGATCTCCTGCATGTCCTCGAAGTTGAAGAAGGTGTTGAAGCACAGCTTGTCTGCAAAGACACACGTGTCAGCTGTGTCTCAGCCAAGGGTGGGGAGGCCTGCGGGCCTGAGAGGGAGGGCAAGGTGGGCGTGATCAGCCTCATGGGCCAGCAGGGACACGGAGGCCCAAACGGCTGCGGTCACAGGCCTGAGCGTGAGTGGGGATCTGGGGGCCCTGTGGGGAAGGAAGGGAGGCCGAAGCAGGCAGGATGGGGCCGGGGTGCACTTACGATTGAGGCCCACGTCATGGTAGGTAAGGATGGCAGGGCGGTTCCCTTTGGGGGAGCCCCGGATCACGACGTGCAGCAGGCCGTAAGGTGTCTCAATGTCATGTTCCTGGAGGGGAGATAGCACGGGACGCTCTGGGCAGCCCTCGCTCCCGGCTGTGGGGCAGCCTGAGGGCTGCTGGGCCTGTGGTGGGGCCCCTACCTCCCAGCAGGGGGGCATCTTATTCTCACCTCCCCCCAGCAGCACCCCCCAGGAGAGCAGACCAGATGGAGCACCCCTTCCCAGAGGTGTCTGGCACCGGGCACCGTGCGCTGGCGTGCACAGGGAAGTCCGCTAACTGCCCAGGCCCTGCCGCTCTCAGCCCTGCAGGGTCCAGTGAAGCCCATTCTCTCCGAGTCACTGCAGCCCCTCCAGGACAGTGTGGCCACCCCAGCCTGAGTCCTGCCCTCGCCCTGTTCCTCCACTCAAAACCTTCAGGGCTGCTTTGCAGCCTGGCCTTGAATTTGCAGTCCCCACCCCCATGTCGGCCAAGCCCAGCCTCCAGCCCCCACGCCCGCCCCTGGTCCCCACCTCCACACTCTTGCTCCTGTAGTTCTTTCCGCCTTGAATGCCCCTCCCTGGGACCCCCAAGGCCTCCCTTCAGGCAGGGCATGGTTAGACCCCCACCCCCACCCCAAAGGCCTTCTGCAGTGACCACTCTGGAATCCTCCTGAGTTCACGCCCCTGGTTTTGTGGCCTGGGGCTGCTAGTCCTTCGAGAACAGGCGCTAGATGCTCTAGGAAGAGGCCAATGTGCTCAGGCATCCCTGAGCCTTGGGAAGGTGCCCTGGGGGCTGGTCCCTCTGCAAACTAGTCACTTTTGGCCACTCGATGGACAGACTCCAAGAGGGTCAGTCAGAGCTGAATTAACAGTCTTGCCCTGCACCACAGGGAACGCTGTGAGTTGGCTGTGTGAGTGGGAGATGGGGCTAAGGTCAAGGGCAGGACATGACTGGGCCCCCCCCCCGCCCAAATGTGTGCCAAGTGCCAAACATGTTATGCATGCATTTCCCCCCCTTTGCTCATGGAGGACACTTAGGTTCAGACAGAACCCAAGTTCCTGCTCCTGACAGAAGAGGGGGGACTCTGGAAGCAGGAGACAGCTTCCTGGGGTCTGGTCTTCTTGGGTCAGGGCTCAGAGGAACACTGTTCAGGCCTGTGTCTCCAGCGGGGAATGACAAGGTGGCGTCAACACCACAGCCAAAGGCCACACCCTGGGAGCCACAATTCTGCTGTGACGCCCTGTTAAGTAAACCCAATGTCCTCTAAGTGGGCCCAAGGCCACCCCAGCCTCCCCACATCCCAGGCCTGTCCTCCCTCAGGGCCATCAAAACAAGGAACACTTCCTCCTCACTGACGGCTGACCAGCCACTTTCCATGTGTCTCATTTTCTTCTCACAGGAATCCAAGCTCCAAAGGAGCAAACTGAGGTTGGGAAAGGAGAAATGACTTGCCCAAGGTCAAATCCAGAGAGGGCTAAACAGGCCTTGCCAGGTGCCAGCCTCAGAGGCCAGGGATGTGTCCTGAAGGCTCCACCCCACAGATTTCCAAGCAGGCAGCTCTCCACAGCTGGGGGGGCCATGCGGCATCCTCCACCAGCCCCCACACTACTCTCGGCTCTGGAGGGCAGGGGTTGGGGGGCAGGAGGGGCGCCCATTGCACAAGAGCTGCAATGCGCTTCCCGCGGCGTGAAGGGCGGTTCTCGGCAGGGCTCAGCGCTAGCCCCGCCGGGTGCGAGTCAGGGCCCAGGGCGGCAGTCTTCTACCCACACACCTCCACCACCGTGGCTGTGCGTGAGGGGGGGGGGTCTACCCCCTCCTAGCCCTGCTGTGACCGCGGCGTCACCATCAGCAGCCCCTGGGCCGCGGGACTCAGGCACAGTGCTCGCCGTCCCCCCGCGCCCCCAAAGGCTCCGCTGCCCGCGGCGGGATGGGCTGTTGAGGGCAATGGCCCAGTTGCTGGTCCCGCGCGGCCCAATGACTTGGCTGAACCGCCTCCCCCACCCACCCAGGAGCTCTGACCCAGCTCAGCCAGATAGGAGCCGAGTGTCCCCGGCCCTCGGGGTGCAGCACAAGAGGGGCGACCCAAGGGCCGCAGGCCGAAGCACTCTGAGCCCCCAGCCCCCAGGACCGAGCGCTCCCATTGGCTCCTGGTGACGTCAGAGCCCCAGCCTCCAGGTGGGCGCCGGCACTGCCGCAGCGAGGGAGGGGGCTCTGACGTCCTCTCTCGGCCGGTAGGTCTCCCCTCGCCCGTGACCTTGAGAGTTGGGGCGGGGGGGGGCGCTCCCAGCTGGGTTTCAGCGCGCGGGAGGGGGTGAGGGGCTGGAGGGGGCCAGCTAGTACCATTCATTCCATCAACCACATCAGCAATTCGGCCGACCGGGACTGCACCCGGGGTAGGCGCTGACGTCGCTGCCGGGGTACGGGGTGGCCCGGGGGGTCTGTGTCCCGGGGGGTCTGTGCCCTGGCAGGGCAGGCCGGGCGTGGGGGTGGAGGAGGACATGTGCCCCTGGCTGCTCCCTCTTTGAGGAAGAACAGCACCCCTGGGCACTGCTGCCCGGGCCCGACCCCCCCGCAGGATCAGGGCTACAGCGTTGCCCTTCCCCACCCACTAAATAAGACGCTGAGACGCCCTCCTCGTCCCCTCCCCTGCAGGGACCTCAGCCTGAAGGGCGGGTTAGCACCCCGCCCAGACCTCCCCGCCTCAGCCGGACTAGCACTGCAGCTCCCTGGGGACCGCGGCGGGGCTGCAAGCATCTCCTAAGGAAGGAAGCGGCTGTCCTTCCGTTCTCACTCCGGTGCAGCCGCCCAAACGACCAGGACAACCCTCGCAGGGTCAGGAAGGTAGACGGCCCGACACGTGCAGGGAACGGAGCCCCCCCCAGGGCTGAGGTGGTCACAGGCGCGCGGCCGACGCCAGCCGGGCACTTGCCAGGCCAAGGGCACACTGTCAGTGGGAGGCCACCCAGGCTTGCAGACAGGTCACGCAGCGCGTTCCACTTTCTGCGGATCTCATCCCTTCCCCACAGGCCCTGACTAGCGGCGAAGCCCCAGCCGCCGCTGCAGGCCAGGGGCACCAGGGACACAAGGACACAGGGACGCACAAGGTGAGGCGACCGAAAGCAGCTCCGCCACCAGACAGAGGCAGAGGGCTGTCCCTTCCTCCCTGCCCACCTGGCCGCCCCCAGAGCCCTCACTCACCCCATCCCAGCACTCCGGCATCTTGCCCAGCGAGAAGGCGATCCGCCTCTACCAGGCAGGGCAAACAAAGGCCTGAGTCACCAGGGTCCGGGGGGGTGGGCAGCGCGAGGGGGAGACGGCGGCGCTGTGATGGGGCGCCGCTCCCGGGCCACTTATATGCGGAGCCCGGCGGCCCAGGCCGGCCCCGCCTCCCTGCGGGGTTTCTGCGCAGCCACTCGCTCTCCCCGAGCCCCCGCTTCCAGATTGGCGGGTGGGAGACGAACCTGGCTCTCATTGGCTTCTGAGTCCCCCCGCCCCCCACTCCCCACCCCCGGCAACACAGCATCCTTGCTGGTCCCCAGGCCCTGCATCCCGGCCGCCCCAGCACACAGGCACACCCCCGCGACAGCCGCAGCTGCACGCGGGGCCTGGGAAGCCCAGACAAGAAGCTCCCCATACGGGTGTGACCTGTGTCAGGTACGCAGGGGCCGCTCACGGACACGCACACCGGCACGCCCCAGACGGGCTCAGCCCTTGACCCCCTCCCTGGGAAGCAGGGAGGGCCTGAGAGGGCCCGAAGCCCAGCCTCCACCTCAGGAAGGTCTGGATCACTTAACCTTGAAGGGATGGGGGAGTGACTGTCTGGGGCAACCTTCTGT